CATATATATATATATGTATATATATATATATATATATATGTGTGTATATGTAAAATATGAAATATATATATATATTTTTTTTGTATGCAGGGTGTCGGCAAGCTCCGCTCGGACCGACTGCATTTGCTCTTGATAAAATTAAAATCGTCCGTCAGAGCCGCTCTTATTTTCATCCTAATTAGTGCTATGACTTCAGATTTAACTGAGGCCAGAATGTATGACCTCAGAGTTGACTCATCTGTCCCTCCAGAGCCCGGTGAAGCTGGGGCCAATGCATCTGTTCCACCTGCTTCTCCATCACGGTGGCCCGTGGCTGCAGTGGTGACAATAGGCCGCGTGGGAGAAGAGACCAAAGCCTTTGACTTTTTTTGTTTAGAGTCCATTTGTTGATTCAGTTACGCGGCAACACCAGCCTCAGAGACAAAATCCAGTGTGTAGGTAGCGAAGATAAAATGCAATTTTTCAGTGGGGCCAATGGGAGCTCTGCCAAAACGCTGTTCACCTGTCCGCTGCTATGTTGGTCTCTCTGAGAACTTATTTTTAAGGAGACTTATTTTTTTTTATTGTTGCCATGTTTAGGATGTCATTTCTCTTTCTTTTTTAGAGCTCAGGCCAGTGAACTCTGGGTGAAAGGAGAAAAAGTGACCTGTGGCTACATCAGTGAAGAGACCAGAGTAAGTGGATTAATAGGAACAGGATTTCTCTGTTCATCTGTAACTAAGTCTTTGCCATTGCCTGCTGCTGAAAGGCAAAGGCAGGTGATTTTGTGTGTAGTCGAGGATTCAAGGTTCTTTATTGTCATTCGCATCACATGTGGTACATAAAGTGGAATAAAATTGTGTACACAGGATCCCAGATTATCCAGCAAAAGTATGAAATGTAAAATGAAAACGCTAATAAGATCTAAGATATGAACTAAGAAAAATGTTAACTAAAAATACACAAAGCGCTAATAGTATAAAAACAATGCGCTGAACAGCATCATGAACAGGAGTCTGTGTGAGCAGATGAGTACGAATGAACACAGCAACATGAAACAGATCAGCAGCAACATGAAACAGATCAGCAGCAACATGATGTGATTTCTTTTTTCATGGTGATTATTCTGGTTAGAGATTCATGAGTCTAACAGCCTCAGGGTAGAAGATGTTCCTCAGTCTAGTGGTTCTACACTTAATGCTCCTCAACCTCTTGAGGGGAGCAGGACAAAAAATGTGTGTGCTGGGTGAGTGGGGTCCTTCATGATGCAGATGGCCCTCTTTTTGCATCTGAAGGTGTAGATGTCTGTGATGCAGTGTTGTAGTAAAGACCACCTAACCCGAGACCAAGTCAAGACCAAGGGAGGACGAGACCATGTCAAGACCAAGACCGAGGGAGGACGAGACCAAGTCAAGACCAAGACCTCAAGTCTTGGAGCTAAATATTTTTACATCTTTTTACATATCTGTCTTAAACTATACCGTCACTACATAGTAACAGTTTTAACAAATATGTAAAAAACATATGTAACTTTAATAAAATATTTTTTATAAAAGTTACATACTGCAACCTTAAGTTTGCTTTTGAATGAATGTATCAGGTTTTATAAATTTTCAAAGCTACATAAAAAAATCAGACATTCAGTGGTTTTTGCACAATAATTTTCATGCTATGTGACCCACTGACCCAAAACTTATGTTAAACTACTCTACTAGACCTGACAGACAAGGCACCCACATTTATTTATCATTTTAAAGCATTTTCTAATTTTATATAATTTATTTGTTCAGAAATCATGGTTTTTGCTCAATAACTAATTAGAAAATGCTTTAAAATGAGAAATAAATGACGTGTCTTGTGTATCAAGTCTATTAGAGTAGTTTAACATTAGTTCTGTGTCAGTGGGTCAAATGATGTAAAATATATAAATTTTTGTTTCTGAAGAGTGTTCGGTTCAGTAATTTGTTGATGGTCCCTAAGTGAACCATTACGTCTTGGAGGAGGGGCAGACTGAGCGCAGCTAACTGAAATCAGACTGCCTGGTTTGGATCGAACGAGACAAACACACTTCTGAAGCCAAAGAGCTCGAATGTCCCATGTCCAATGTAAAACTAACTTCATCATGGTAGAGAATTTAGAGCTGTCATTTCTAACCCGAGCCCTAAGCCCGACCCCACCCGACCCGAATTCGGGGCGGACCGGGCCATGATAATGTGCTGGATGGGCGGGCCGGGTTGGTGTCGGTCTTTTAATTGGGTCAGGATCAGCTGCGATCCATTTATATGATAACATGGCCTGCCATACAGTCACCAGCTGCACGTGTCCATTTCACTGTGAGCTGACTGGCCTTGAAAGAGGTAAAATGTTCAGTTAAGCTTCAGATGGACTACACTGCCAGGAAGTGATGCATCGCCCAAATGGACGTTCAGCTGCTGCACTCGGCGGATTTGCATAGCCGATGACCCAATCAGGTGAGATCACAAAGCAGACGTGTGTGTCAGAGAGCTAGGTGAAGCTGACACCCCTCCCACGTCAAAAATTCCTGCCAGAGCTGTCCGCGTGTTTGAATAATTCAGAAGAATGCTGGCAGAAGCAGGGATTAAATGCTCTTTAACGGCAATGAAAGGACAAACACCCTCTCAGCTCCGATCTTCTGCATCTCAGCTGTGCGTACCCGACGATAGGTGTATCCCAAAGTAGACGTGTGTCAGAGCTGTCTACATGTCTGAGTAATATAGAAGGATGCAGGCAGAAACGGGGTTTAGATGCTCTTTTACGGCCATGAGAGGACAAAAAAAACCCTCTTCGATCTTCTGCCCCATTCAGCCACGCATCTTGGACCTTTAATAACTAATTAAAAACGTTGGTTTTATTTCCGGGTTCGGACCTGTAATTACTGTTAATTTGTCAGATCAGGTGGGGTTCGGAAACGATGACTGTGGGCTGGGGCCTGGTTCGATCAAATTTTTTGGGCCCAAATGCAACTCCTAAGAGAACTGAGGCTCCAGCATAGCACGAGCAGTTCAGATACAATTTGAAATGAAAAAAAAGAAGCTTTTATTAACTGATTAAGTCGTGTTTTAGACTGCTTATTGCTAGAGAATCTATTACGACCCAAAGTGTGGCTGTGACTGGTTCTGAATGATGGCTTTACAGTAGACAAACGCTTCCCTCTCTTCCAGGTACTGTGTACCGGCGCAGAATCTTTTAGTTGTACGTAGTACCGGATCGTACAGTCTTACTTTCACCCCTGGTTTCGACATTACGTTCTGTTTTCTGTATTGTTCTATTGGTACAGAACTGCATGCGAGTGAAAGGGGGTGGGAGTGACAGCGGTAACAAAAACGTATTTAGCAATGAGTCACGTTATCGCTTAGATTTGAATCAGTACATTTTGCATCCAATAAAAACAAGGATGTTAACAAATACACTGGACAATATTCTGGCAATTTAGTGATATTTCCACAGTTGTGGTCTTGACTGGTCTTGAAATAAAATCCAGAGTCCTCAATGTCCAAGACCGAGACAAGACAGAGACCAAATGCAGTCGAGTCCGAGACAAGACCAAGACCATCAAAAACTAGTCTTGAAATCGGTCTCAAGACCAAGACCAGTCTCAAGTACTACAAAACTACTGTGATGGTGGGGAGGCTGACTCCAACAGGCTTCTGTACAGCGTTCATCACTCTCTGTTATGCTGCTATAGGCTTAGACTGATGGAGGATAAACTGACCACACTTTTTCACTCTGCTACTGTCTTTACTTACTCTGCTCAACCGGTTTTGTATTTGTAATTATTTTTTCTATCCTTAACGTGTTTTTTTGTCTTTCAGGTACACCTGCACCTATATCTGGACATGCCATTCTGTGTTTGTTTTTCTCTCCTTTCTGTCCTCTCAAACCAGCCGGTCAAAGCAGATGGCCGCTTGTCCTGAGCCTGGTTCTGCTGGAGGTTTTTTCCTTTTAAAAGGAAGTTTTTCCTTTCCACTGTTGCCATTGTGCTTGCTCAGGATGGGAGACTGCAACGAAGCCAAGCTTCAACTTGTCTGCTGGCTTCCTTAGATAGAGAACTTTACTAATTGGCTTTTCTATGTATGTGAATGTTCCTGTACAGTGCCCTGAGACAACTTTATTGTGATTTGGCGCTATAGAAATAAAATGAATTTAACTGAATTATACACTTAATGCCCTTCCACATGCTCCGTGGGTCTTGTGAGGTGAATTGACCCTGAATCCTCTGTGCATATGTGATCTTGGACCTCCTAATACCAGTATCCAGCTCTTTCTTCTCAGCTCCTGTGAGTTTCCAGACCTGAAGGCAGTGTTCCTGGCTTCCAGCAAGTTGCAAACCTCTGCATTCAGCCAAGGCTTCCTGTTCGGATAGCTTTTAACATATCTGATGGTGATGACGTCATCAGCACGTTTGCTAATGTATCCCAGGACTGAGGATGTGTATTCCTCCAGGTCTAGCTCCCCCTCATATTCAGCAGCTTCTCTAAAGACCTGCCAGTCTGCGCATGCAAAACAGTCTTTCAGTATAGCATCACTATTCTTCATCCAAGATTTAAATTTCTTTTGTATCGGTCTGGAGCATCTCATCGGAGCCAGGAAGATGGAAAATTGATCAGAATCCTAGCTGGGGGCGGGGGCCGGCTTTGTATGCATCTTGTATGTTCATGTAAACACGTTCCGGTGTGTTGTTTCCACGTGTTGGTATTGCAACATGCTGGTAAAATCTTGGCAGGCAGTCCTATAGATTTATGTGATTAAAGTCACCAGCCCCACATAAAGAGCCTCAGGGTGTTTGTTTTTCAACGAGCTAAAATTATCATGTAGCTCCTGCAGAGCATCTGTAGCATTATCATCCGGGGCTATGTGAACAACTGTTATGAACACCCGTGTGAACTTGCGGGGTAGATAATGTGGTCGACATTTCACTGTTAGCTCCTCCAAAGCCTTGATGTATCACCTGTTTATCAGAGTATTGTTTGTACACCAACTTTTACATACGTAAATCCATACTCCGCCTCCCCGTGACTTTCCTCTAAGCTCGCTGCAGTGGTCCACTTGGGAAAAAAGTATTTGGTCCAGCTGGAACGCTGAGTCTGGCATGTCGCTGTTAAGCCATGATTCCGTAAGACAAAGCACCGCACATTTCCTCATCTCCTCTGAAGCGCCCACCCTCAGATGAATCAAATCTATCTTGTTGTCCAAAGAGCGGACGTTCGACAGAAAGAGAGAGGGTATTGGTAATTTGCCAACCTTCGCGTTAGCTTTTAGCCTTACTAGCACCCCTGCCCAGCAACCTTGCTTTTTAAGCCAGGAGTAACACCTCCTCTTCCCATTAGAGTGCTTCTGCTGAAGCTTCCGACTTTAGGATCTGCATTTTGCCGAGTGTAGTTTTGAGATCGTTGCTGATCGCTGCTGTATTCCGTGGTAAATCCGCTCTTATTTCCATCAGTTCGGTTCAGCTATAATTCACACGCATAAAGCATGTGGCGTCAGGCTCTGAGTTAATTTCAAAACTCGTAAAAACTGGGATCGCACTGGGTGCCTGTGAATCTGTGGCTCTTGAGAGCGTGGCCATCTTGGCGTGACCATCTTGGCAGTGTATGTGAGTACATGTGTTTGGATGAACTCAAGGATCGGCTCCGAGTCCCTTCTTGTTTGCTCTGGTGGGACCGACTATCAGATG